CGTCTTCTTCCCCACCAGGGACCTTAGAGGCCATTATTGAATATGATTCCGAATCTGCTGCGGGAGTCGTTCAGCGGCTTGTCCGGGCTCGGCAGAATCTTGGGCTTATGTTGAGAGTTCGCCATATCTATGATGATGTCGCTCAGTATGTGCATTGGCGGAAGGTGGAGTCCCATACCGGCCAATTTCTCAATGAGTGCGCGGACCACCTTGCAGAATGTGGTGCTGGTGGCATCGTCTATAATCCTGCTGACGTGAGTCGGTGGGCCAGGCTTCCAGCCTGTTCTTTGTTTTGCAGTGGACAAGTAGCCCTTGTCTTCTTCATTCTACGCTTTGGTGAACTTTGCGAGCAATGAGCTCGCCAACAGCTTCATCGATGCTTTCAACGGCTTCACAACGTGCAGGAAGCTCTGTACAATAACGTGGTGTGCGGTTCATGGGTTTCAGGCCAATTTGACCGTTATTGGTACACCCTTGGCATGCCGATCAGTTCAAGCTTGTGGTCTTCATCGGTAAGTCTCGGGCCCCCTTCCCGCAGCCCACTGTCCTCAAGCTGAGTATCGTCTGTGACGATCAGTAGATTTGGCTCGCGTGCCTCATCTCTCGTTGTCCTCCTCCACCCGTCTTCTTCCCTCCTTCGTTCTAGTCCACTAGTAGGTTCGCTCTAACGTTTAGGCGTTTGCAGCATAACACTTCACAAACGCGATACCATTTAACGAGTTCGGCTTCATCTGCAAGTAATTTTGCGACCAGTGCGACGTCGTCTCACGTGGCTGATCGTGCCGAGGCATGCTGCTTGCCACACAGGCGGTCGTTTGCTCCTCCTCCTCCTCCGCCTCCTCCTCCTCCTCCTCCTCCTCCTCCTCCCCCTCCTCCTGCTCCTCCTCCCTCTTGTCCTCCTCCTCCTCCTCCTCCTCCTCCTCCTCCTCATCCTCCGCCTCCTCCTGGCGTTGCCGGGCCTTTCCGGTGTGCAGGTTCCCTCACCAGGTGGGCACGTTCCTCCTGTCGGCTCCAGGGGGGAGCGCCCCTCGCCGGGCAAGGCTCTGTTCGAACATGTCGGCACACGCCGTCTGTAGAACAAAACACACAGACGTGTGAATTTGTTTCCACAGAGTGCGTTTTGTTCCACATCCGTTCCTTCCACCCGTTTGCTCCTCCCCTCCAGTTCTTTCCGCCCTGTCGGCGTGGCGGTTCTCGTTCCTCTTCTCCTGCTCCCCCCACTTCCTCCCGCCCCTTCCGCTGCCCCATGGCTGTTGTTGCGGCGGAGTCTTCCTCATTCCGCCTTTCCTCCTCTTCTCCCTCCTACTGCCATTCTTCCTGTCCCGCTGCCCATCCTCCTGCCCAGAAGCATCTGGTCGCACGTGCGCACCTCTACGAGTCCCTAGAACACAGTAGCAATTGTCGTGCCCCCAGCTCGCAGCTTTGCTATTCGGCTCTTTGCGTCAAGCCCCGCCGCCGTGCCAGCGCCAACATCGAGGGGCAGGCAGGGTGGTGCTATCGAGATCTCCCCGACAGGCTCGGTAGAGCCAGCTTGGGGCTGCAGCGCCACGATGCTGCAGAGTGGCGTGGCATGGCCATGGCGGTGCGTTGTTAGTTTTGCGCTGCCTCTTGGGAGCTGGGTGGCGGTTGGTTTCTATGGGCTTGTCTCGGGAGCCTCCTTGGGGTCCCTTCGGGGTCTTCGGGGGGGGCCACTTGGGTGCCTCTCGGACATCGAGGGCCCGTCTTGAGCACGATGGCTCTGCCGAGATCTCCGGAAATGGCCTGGCAGAATTGTGCACGCCGGTCGCTGAAAGTAGGTGTTCTTGCATTCCCAGATCCCGGTCCACTTCCGGCGCCCTCCTATTGCAAGAGCCGATCGACGCTTCTGCTGCGTGGTGTTGTTCTCTGCGATGGCCTGAGCCCAGTCCACTTCGTCCGCCTTCTCCTGGCATCGCTCGACGTGTGTACTTTTTTGGGGGCGAGGACCCTTGAGGAACATCCTGGATCATCGAGCGAAAAAAGCACGCACGAAACCGAAAACTGCACGGGAAATGGACGTCCGAGCGACGGCATCTTCCTGCTTCCTGCTTCTGCCCACGTCTTCCGACCGACGTGTGCTGGTGCCGTCTGGAGGAGGTGCTGGGCCCTCCCGAGTGCCCCGCGGGTCAGGCTTGGGCCGTGGGTCCTCGGGCCCTCTCGGGGCCCCGTGGGGGGCTCTCTTCCTGGCATCGCTCGGACATGTGCATTTTTTCTCGGCGAGGGCCATCGAGGAGCATCGTTGATCATTTGGCGAAAAAACAGCGCACGAAACCGAAAAAAACACAGGGAATGGACGTCCGAGCGATGGCCAGTCTTCAGCAAGTTACACGCTGGTCCTTCAAAGCAGGTGTTGCGAAGGCCTTACGGCCGGTGCCGCCGCCCCTGAATGGCGACGACGACGACGACGACGACGGCAAGCGCTCTCGGGGTCCTCTTTGGGGCAGTCTGGGGGCCTCTTGGGAAGCTCTTGGGGACCGCTTGGAAGCCTCGTGGGGGCCTTTGGGGGCTTCTTGGGGTCTTGGGGGTCTCTCGGGGGCTTCTTGGGGTTTCTGGGAGGGCTTCTGAAGGGGTCCCTGGGGGCTTCCTTGGAGCTTCTCAGGCCGAGGGCTCGAAATGACCGTTCGGGTCCCCCGTCTGGGCTCCCTCTTGGAGTCGTCTTGGGGGCCTCTTGGGCCCTCTTGGAGGCCTCTTGGGCCATCTTGGGGCGGTCTTGGGGGCGTCTTGGCCTGTCTTGAAGCGTCGGGATGCTGACAAGGCGAGAATGTCGAAATATTTTTTTTAAAAAAACCATTGGGGAGATCGTTGATTTTTGCCCCCTGGGGCCCTCTTAGAAGTCCTCCTGGAGGCATCTTGGCGCGTTTTGGAAACCTTTTGAGCCGTCTGGAGGCTACTTTGGCGACTGGGACCGATACTTCGGCGGTTCGGTGCCCACGAGGATCGTCTTGGGGGCATCTTGGGGCACTTCTGCTGCGCCTTGGAGCTTCTCTGGGCCCCCGAACCGCTTGAGGGGGAGTCGTATCTGGGAGGCCCCCCCCCCCGGGGGGAGTCGTATTTGAGTGGCGACCCCCCCCCCAGGACCCCCCCCCGGGACAGTCCCCCCAGGACCCCTTCCCCCCTCAGCAGGGAAGGGGTCAACGGGAAGGGGCTTCCCTTCGACTCAACTACAACGTTGCTCAATTTCGCTGTGGCTGGCGCGCTGGGGAAAGTGGGGGGAGCGGCGACGGGCCTAGGGAACGGGGAGGGGAGCGGCGAAGGCGACGACGACAACAACGACTACGACGATGACGACGACGACGACAACGACCACGACGACGAGTCAAATGGAACAGCCTCTTCCACACGCCGACAGGGTCGGCGGAGTTCGTCGTCATACAGGAGCCTGGCATGGGCGGTCATCGGCGGCGGAGTCGCCTGTCCGCTGACTGGAGTTCCCGGCTGGCGCGCGCCAGTGGAGGCGCAGCCTTGTTGAGGGAACGGCGGCATGCCTAAGAGAGGCGCGACATGGGATGGCGTAGGATGCTGCCCCAGCGAGGGAGGGGGAAGAGAAAGAGAGAGCCATACGACGAGTGTGTCCCGCTGCTCCGTGCGAGACGGTGAGCTCGCAGATGAGATCTCTGCCGGGTGTCACCATGAAGAAAGATGAGTCCTGTGACGAAGGGGTCTTCGGGCGTTTTGTTTGTCAGCTTCCCAGGGCCCGCCCTGGACCCAGGACCGTAGAAAAGTACAGTCGACCCGCATGGTAAGGATGAGCAACCTTCCCACGGGTACCCTTGCATCCCTCCATCCTCGGTCCATCCTTGGCCACTTTCGTCGGCCGCGCCCCGTTCGGAAAGCTTCGAGATGGCCTTCCAAGGCCCTTTGCATCCTTAATGTGCGCCCTCATGATGCCGGTTGTGAAGGGGCCCCAGGACACACAAATAAATACACACAAACAAAAATATTCCCCATATTTTCCTATATTTTCTGGGTTTCTGTCTTCCCTCCCACTTCCCATATTTCCCCATATTTTCTGGGGAATCGACGATTACTTGTGTCTGGGTGATTATTTCCTCCTGAGGTTGGGATGACCTTTTTTTCGGGGTGGGATAACTGCCCCCCCCCCCCCCCCCGGGAGACCCCCGGGGTCCAGAGCTCATCTCCGTCGGGCCTCCGTTCCCGCAGGCCAGGGGCGGCAGGTCGGGCCCGCATCACGTCGAGACCTCCCGAGCAGTTCCCCATGCTTCCGTGCATGTTCCCCTCACGATGTGCACCGCAGCTCGGGGACGTCTTGGTATTCTGGGGTCGTTCTGGCTTCCTCGGGCTGTCCGGTTCCGCTTCCGCGGTTCATCCTGCGAATGTCCGTGCCGACGAGCAAAGAGGTGCGACCATGTTGCCGAGCATCGTTGTTCCCCGCGGTGGTTGACAAGGGTCTTCTCCTCCTCCCGTCTTCGTTTTCGCTCCTTCGCCTTCCCCCTTCCTCCTGGAGGCCGCCCTGTTCCCTTTTCGCGAGAGCTGCAGGGCGAGCGGCGTTGCTCCTGCTCTCCCTTCTCGTCCCCTCCGAGGCGCCGCGGCCTGGGCGTCGGTGCTCCTCCTCACCCTGCGGCGGTCCTTGTCTTTCCCTTCGGCCACTCCTCTTTACTCCCTCCTGCCATGTCGGCCGGGAGATCCGGCCCGCGGGAGGCCGAGGCGTGCCCAGAGGGCGGGGAGGCTGGGCAAGCTGCCGGGTCCCGTCACGGGCTGCAGGGGCCTCATGGTGTCTTTCAGGTAAGGGCTGTGCATCCTACCAGCTCGATGGCGTGATTTCCGAGGATGAGTGTTTCGAACTATGTTGCGTCACGTGGGAGTTCTCTCCCATGTCCTCTTATCTCCCCTTTTTCTGCTTCCTTCCACCGGCTTGTGCCAAGTGGAGTTCTACCAGCGCATCATACACATCGGCACATCGACTGCAATGTGTTGCTATGATTTATTTGATTCGGCGGCAGCCAGCGTGCTGTAGACCACAGGTCTACAAGCGGGACAAGCAGTTGATCGTAGAGGAAGAGCAGGAGAGACTCCGGAGGTATTGCGAAGAGATCAAGGGATTCTTCCGACAGGCCCCTCTATTTCAATGTCTCTCTCATACTGTCGGCATGCACATGGCAAGACTGAGTGGTGGGACATACATGCCCGACAGTGATGTTGGCGTTGCCGATGCGAGTCGCGGCATCCGTCGTACGATCTGTCCCTCTGCTTCTCCGTGATCGTGTCAGCCCTGCGCGATGTGCCACTGTCATGGTCGAACCTTCGCGGCTCCGTGCGCAGCGCCACGTCTCTCCACGGCCCTGGTTGCCGCGGGAGCAGTCCTCCTCTGGCACCGCCTGCACGGCACGGCAGCCTGTCCGCACGGAGGCGGCGTGCGCACGGCCGCCCCCCGCGGGGGGGCCCCGCAGGCCGACCTGGACAACTCCGGCACCCTGAGCTGGGAGGAGTTCTACGAGTACCTGCACGACGACAAGATCAAGGCCCGGCGCTTCCTGCTCCATCTCCTCCTCCTCCTCCTCCTCCTCCTCCTCCTCCTCCTCCATCTCCTCCTCCTCGTCCTCCTCCTCCTCCTCCTCCTCCTCCTCCTCCTCCTCCTCCTCCATCTCCTCCTCCCCCTCCTCCTCCTCCTCCTCCTCCTCCTCCTCCTCCCCTCCTCCTCCTCCTCCTCCTTCCTCCTCCTCCTCCTCCTCCTCCTCCTCCTCCTCCTCCTCCTCCTCCATCTCCTCCTCCTCGTCCTCCTCCTCCTCCTCCTCCTCCTCCTCCTCCTCCTCCTCTCCTCTCCCCCTCCTCCTCCTCCTCCTCCTCCTCCTCCTCCTCCCCTCCTCCTCCTCCTCCTCCTCCTCCTCCTCCTCCTCCTCCTCCTCCTCCTCCTCCTCCTCCTCCTCTCCTCCTCCTCCTCCTCCTCCTCCTCCTCCTCCTCCCCCCTCCTCCTCCTCTTCCTCCTCCTCCTCCTCGTGTGCTGGGGTGCGGCCAGAAGCTTCGGCTCGGCTCTGTCGTGCCTGGGATGCCGGGGTCGGCGGCGTTTCCCGTGCAGGCGTGGCCGCTTCGACGAGATCGGGGGCCCCAGGTGGGCCCCGAAGCCTCCGCGTTTTCCGCCTTCGCCGCCCCCGAAGCGCCGGCCGCGTCGATCAGATGTTCCCGCGCGCACCACTTGTGGGCAAGGCCACCCATGCGCGTTCCATTGCAAGATCTCGCGGGCGGAAGCCAGGCGGGCACGCCTGTCCACCTGGCACTGACAAACACGTGCTTCTCTCACGCCCAAAGTCGGCGAGCATCCTTGTTACGGGAACGGCAAGCTTGTATTCACGTTGCCATGTGTTGTGTCTTGTTTTACGCCCTGCGTGATCAATTCGATTTATATCCTCTAGGGTCATGACATGGATGCTGAAAGCGAACGGTGAGTGATACGGTCAACCCGCTTAGTAATCATGATCGACTTCCCAAGGGGACCCCTGCCCACTGCATCCTTGTCTTTTCGGTCATCCTCGGGTCATCCTCACCCACTTTCGATGGGCAGCCCCGCTCGAAGAGCCTAGGTATGTGTGTCCAAGGACCTTGCATCCTTACCGCACATTCTTATTGTACGGATCGATTGTATGCTGAAGATTGGCACGGTCCATGCTGGTGACTTTCAGGGTACCAGACATATGACCTCGTGATTTGTTCAATCCGGACCCCTGTTGCATCGAGAATTGTTCCCAACCGTCCTGTGGAGTTGGGTCCTCGTTTTGAAGAGACAGCGCCCCAGGTCCTTCCTCCATCATCCTGCTCCTACACCTCCTCTCTCCTCCCATCCTTGCCTCTGCCCTGTGCACAACCATTACGCCAGCATTCGGGCACATCCCTCCCTCACACGTCCCGTGCCCCCACAAGGAGCTCATCCGAAGGCCCCAGCGGCAAGGTCCGCATGGCGTACCCGCACCCGATTCGGCACGCCCCTCACATGTTTCGTGGCCCCAGAAGGAGCTCCACCGACGGCAGGGTCCGTATTGCGTACCCGCACCCGATTCGGCACACCCTTCTCACGCTTCGTGGCCTCATAAGGAGCTCCCCCGAAGACCCCAGCGTCAGAGTCCGCATGGCGTGCCCGCACCCGGTCGGCACACCCCTCGAATGTTTCGTGGCCCACAGGGAGCTCCACCGAAGGCCCCAACGGCAGGGTCCAAGTGGCGCACACGCACGCGATTCGGCACACCCTTCTCACGTTCCGTGGCCTCGCAGGGAATTCAACCGAACAGCTTCAGCCGCAGGGTCCGCATGGCGTACCCGCACCCGATTCGGTACCCCCTCACACGTTTCGTGGTTACCCCTCACACGCTTCGTGGCCCCATAGGGAACTTCACCGAAGGGCCCAGCGGCAGGGTCCGCATGCGTCTCCCCGCCTCATTTCGGCACACCCTTCCTACTCTTCGTGACCCCACAGGGAGATCCACCGATGGCGATACGCACAACGACAGCATCCACAACTGCATATGGTTGGGTCCATCGATAATGTTTTGATTGTGGGGGTTTGGATGGGGGAGCCAAGGGTTATCCCACCAGGAATTTAGGTACACGTGGCGTTGCTGGCCCGATCGCGACGTCGCTTCACACGGGCCGCACATCATTCCAGGGCTCGACCCTGGGTTGACTGGCACGCCGGACATCCACACGGGTTCCGCATGCGCCGCGTGTAAAGCCAGCCGCACGTATGTGCGTTGCCGTTTTCTGGTCGAGGGTTGCGCCATTCCGCCGATGCCCAGATGAGCGGTGCCGTGAACATACGGCTGTGGGCTGTCTGGGACTCCGTCGGGGTACCGTTGCTAGTTGTTTGGAAGTCCACGAAGGGGGATTCTCAGGGCTCGGGGCCCTCTATGGGCCGCCAAGGAGTTACAGCTCCGCGACGGATCCGCATGATCAAGTGTGCCCTCACGTCCTCTTAATCCGCAGCTTCTTGTACCACGTGCCCCAACCAGCCCACAACACTTCGCACTCGGAAGGGCATTGCGTCCCGCTGGATGTCCTTCGCACGGCAGTTTCGCACCGCCGCGAGGACGCGGCGGCGGCCCCAGCACGGGCGCTCAAGGGCTGAACACGCCGTCAGTGGCCCAGCATTGGCCAGTATCGCACGGCCAGCTATCGGAATGCTCCGGCGCGTTCAAGGTTGAGCGAGCCGCGCGGTGTGCGACATTAACGTTACGTCGGGCGCGTCTCTCAACAGGAAGAATGTTCGATAACCAGTATAAGAGATGGTCGGGGGACGATCTGTCGTGCTCTTCTGATTCTTCTGTTGACGGTCTTGCAACTTGGATTCCAGCATCCGCCTGTGGGAGGACATGCGGAGGAGGAGGAGGATGAGGAGGAGGAAGAGGAGGAGGAGGGGGAGGAGGAGGGGGAGGAGGA